CCTAATCCAGTGAGGCTGATTTTACATTCTTCTGTGAGTTCAGTGGCTTCTTTCAAAGATAATACCTTTTAGGATTTGATGGTATTTGGCATTTCAGGCTTGGTAGTAACAGTGGCACACTATTGTATAGGAACATTCTTTCAAATGTGATGAAATGACGCTTTGTAATAAACTCTCAAAAATGTAGTGATCATCATCTTTTAATCTGTTGCCTTCATCTTCATATAGGAGAAAAGGAACCAAAATAAAATCCAGGAATTTAAGAACTATCTCAATCCAGGGCCATCCTTAGCATCCCCAGTTAAGCATAAATCCTCAAATTTACTATGTTACATATAAAAAGGGTAACCCAAAGAAAGGTACACATCATGTAGAAATGTGCACCCTTGTGACACAAATGAAAGATGGAAGGCTCTAGACATCAGAAATCTTCTCCTCATTTCAAGTTACATGTCTCTGTTTAGCAGGAGGAACTACTAGCATGAAGAATTTGCCTGCCATTATAATTAACTGGATTCACAAAATGTATAGGAATTTGTAATAAAGGCCGACAAAACAATTTAGTTAGTGAAATTAGTCCCAACCAAAAGTTAATCAAAGGGAACATCAGGCAACTTGTCCCTGCTCCCCTAGTGATCTAAAACATGACTGGTTTATAATGCACAGTTGTGATGAAGAATTCATTGGAAGATAATCAAGATAAAGTAAAGCCATTTAATTCTTCTCTTCTTCTCATTTTCCTCTATACCTTTGAAAGTGCAGTTTCACTCCTTAATGGGATGCATCTATCAATGAATCCTGTTAAACATACTTCAGGGTCAAGCCCATCTTAATGCTTCTTGAGGCACGCTCCCCTCCAGCTCATATGGATTGGCAAAAAGCCTTGAGATTAGGCAGGATTTGTCCCTGTAGGGACTGGGGTGGGTAGGTTCCAACTATCAAAATAATTTACCTCCTGTCCCAGTTTATTTTTGTTGAAGTCCCAAGACCAGCTGTGACTTTTGAAATGCAGGGCAGGATATACTTATTTATTTATTTAAAAAAAAGTCTCAGGAGATTCTGCTACAGGCAGAGGTTGTTTCTCATGTAGATCCTGTTCATTTCCAGTGGTACCTGTGCCAGTCCTTGATGATGTGTTGTATAGGGGAGCATGAAGAGAGATGGAAATCCTACTCATACCATAGTAAACCACAGCTTCCACAGGACAATTCAGTGCTGTATATTTATGACGTGGCTGGATGTGGGGGTGGGAAAAACTGCTACAAGGCATGCCACAGAGGAACAAAATAGTACAGTGTTTATTAGGACTAATGGCCAGGGTTCAATTCTTAGCTTGGCCATGAAACCCACTGGGAGGGGAATGCAAACTGGAGGTGGAGTCGGGGCATGGCGACTGCATGCCAGCCACCCCGACTTGGACCCAATACTACTGTCACTCCGTGTGCCCCACTGCATGGCAGGCAGCATCAGGGTGCTCCCTTGGCACAGCTTTCATACACACTGCACCAAAGGAAAACAGAAAAGCCGCTGCCATGGCGGCAAGGGCAGCTTTTTACCACTCTATAAAGGAGCAGCATTTGCCAGCTCTTTTTAGAGTGGCAAAGTGCTGGATCAGGACCACAGTGTGCGGTTGCCATGGCCCTGATCTGACAAGGAATGGGATGCTGCCCCTTAGGGACTGTCTGTACAGCCTCTGGGTGAACTTGGGTAAGTTGTATGCTTTCAGCCTAAGGAGAAGGCAATGGCAAACTCCTTCTGAACAAATCTTCCCAAGAAAATCGCATGATAGGTTCACCTTAGGGATTGCCATAAGTTGGAAATGACTTGAAGGCACACAACAGCAGCAGCAACAACAACAATAACAATGGCCATGTGGAGCAGCTCTCAGATGAGTGTACAGAAACTGACTGAACTGGCATTTGAACCTTCCACCAACACTGGCAAAGAGAGAAGATTGTTCACTACATCTGAGGGCAGCAGGGTTGTTTAGGTGTTGTGCCTCATCCCCAGGACTCAGATAGTGAAGCAGAGGGCCAAGATAGTGAGACAGAGTAGGCAAGAAGGTCAAGAAGGCATGACAGTTTCTGGACAGCAAGCCAGAGCTAACAGCACCTACTGAAGCAAAACAGAGGAGGAAGAAGGAGGGACTACAGAGGTCGGAGTATTTAAGAACCAAACGTGCATTTTAATCAGAGAACAGCTGCATGCTGACAACAGACTATAAATTCCAGTACCTCCCTTAAGGAACTTGTTGCTCCAAACATTTCTGTCTGGTGGATGTAACATTCCTGACTCGTGCTCCTAGTTCATGTTGCCTAATAACCTAACACCTTGTTTCATTTATTTATTTGTATTAAAATATATATTTATTCAATTTATTCAATTTAAAAAAGGAACAATGACAATGACTGACAAAACAGAAACAAAACTACTCACAATAAATGTCATTAGCAATAGTAAACAAATGGAACATTAAACACATTTTTAAAATATGCTCTGTTTAATGACTACACTTTTGGATCTCCAGTTTGGATGTATTACTCAAATGGGTTTATTTATTTATTATTTTATTTATTTTATTTTTATGCCACCTTTTCCCCAGAACAGGACCCAAGGCTTTGATTCAGACTGGCTTGACTCTGCTACTATGTCATCTTTGCTGGTGAGCCACACTTCTGTCAGTGATTCTCCCATGCTCTCTTGCCTCCTGTACTCTCTCTTGGGGACCTGGACTCGTGTTGACACAAAACAGGACATTAGGGTATGCAGGACAACCGGTGTAATGCACACAGTTCTGTCCTCCAAGTTTGTCAATGACATTATTGTGTTTTTTTTTCCCCCTTGAACATTCCACATTAGATTAGGAATGACACATTCAACCATTTATGCACATCAAAACTATCTCTTCCAAAGAAGATTGGCAACCAAAAGGACCAAATAATAATAAAATCTAACATATTTTAAACACATTTTAGTATGGCATGTCTCAGCAGAGGGAGAATGATGTAACCCTCCAGATCATCAGTTGTGAGTCTCAGTAGCCCTAGCCATCTTAGCCAATGGTGAGGAATGATGGGAGTTGCAGTACAACTCCCACATCAGGGCTGCATGATTCCCAACCCTATCAGAGCAACCTACACCAACCTGGCACCCCCTCCCCCATGTAGTCATGCTGGCTGGGGATGGTGAGAACTCGAATTCAATCTATTTGGAAGTCCTCAGATTGGCGTATGCTGGCTCAAAGTTATTGTTACGAACCTAAGGTTTCACAGTTGCCCTTCCATGGCTACCAGGCTGGTAAACATAAAGGCACTCAAAATTTTCCTATGTCTCTCACTTTGACTTTCAGTATGTGTATGTATTTGTGCAAGGTTTTCTCCCAAAGAAGATAATCTTATAAAATTAGGGAAGTGGAAATTGTCCCTTTCGCATGATTACACTGATATGTATAATCCTATAATAAGGATCTTAAGATGCTACTAAGCACATGACATAGTTAAAAAAGAAAAGACAGACAAAAATGGATACCATATTGCATGCAGTAAAACATTATAACAAGGTGCAGAATTGAACACTATATACTAGATAGATAGATAGATAGATAGATAGATAGATAGATAGAT